CTCTCTGATTGCAGTGATATTTTGCTGAGTCCCTCAGCTTCTGCTCTAGGCTGCTTTCGATGCCTGAAAAGTTGATACATAAAACATGAGATAAGCACTGGAAATTTTGATTTGATTGTATATTACCTGAGTGCAAAAACCTTTCAACTCTCACTGTGAGCGATATCTACTAATTCATTGCAGAACTGAAAAAGTTACTACCCTAAGTATACCCTTGTAAATATGATACTGTCATCTTTCTGAAATCAGTTAATGAAGTTCAGCTTAAACTATATTGAAAGTCACCTTAATAATTTGCTGGTCTGTATAAAAAAAATTCTTGCTGACTTTCTGGGAAGCTAGCTGTTTTCCGGGCTAGAGGGAAAAGAGAATTTCAGGCAGGAAAAAAGAAAGGAAAAAAAAAATAGAAGAAGGGTAGGATGCAGATAAAGTGTCATCTGTTTGTATTTTACTTTGTGATCTATTATTATAAGTACAAGATTTTGATGGCACATCAGAGCACTTCAGTAACTTCTTTTATATTCCTGTTTTATATTCTGGTAACTTTTTTTTGTGCAAAGATGGTGTTCTTAACCTAAGCTTGGGGTCTTTGTAGTGTTGTTACTTTTTTCCCCCCTTACTAAATAGCGTGCTCATAATGAGAAACCTTTTGTCTGCAGTAAGGCTTCTGCCTGGAAGATAGATCTTTCCTCTTCCTTGCTGTAAAAGACTTCCATATTGTTGGGCATTACACATGACTCGACATAAAATGTCTTGCTTTTAACAGCTGTAATTACTGTCTGCATGCTTAATTGTGATAGTTTTTGTGATGTTTTTGCAAATAGTTTGATAGGAGAAGTCATCTACCTCTGACTGTGTGGTTACTTCTCCCTCCACTTGCAGTTCTGATCAAACACTAATATCTTTGCAGTAATTAGGGTTGAACTGTGAAGTTCAAAGCTGCTGCGTAGTATGTTAACCACTGTGTCCTGAAGAGAGGAGACAGATATATTTAACTTGATTAAGGGATGAAGTGCAGAAAAGACTGACAGCTCTGCTGTGTTTAAGATGCAGAAGATGATGATATCCAACTGCGTTTTTGGAATTGTATCTTCTGAGTGATAGAGCCATGGCAGCAGCTTGACCATGCCATGAAGCGCTTTCTAGCTGAGACTTTGGATGTCATGGCTGTTGCAGCACTCAGGATGCGGGTTTGGGGCAAATAACAGTCACATGGATCTTTTCTTCACAAGTACTAAATTCTAGCTGGAAACAAGCCTCAAAACACTCTGTGCTAATCCTGCTGCTTATTACGGTTATTGGAGATGAATGAAGAGAGGGAAGTCACTTAATTTTTCATTCTTGGCCTTCGGGGGGGGAAAAAGTACTTAGTGTCTGGAAAGACAGACCATGGGCCTTACCAAATGACCAGCTGGCTGCCTTTCTGAAGAAGCATGGGATATACTTATGTTTCGGAAGTGGTGGTAGGAGCAAGCGCTTGCTTCCTCCCCTTTTTTCCCCCGGTTGTAAGTGTACGTATGTACGTATTGCAATCTGCAGTTTCATGGTGCCTTCTCATGATTAGTGTGATCAGCCTGCTTTTTTGTTAGCTTTAGGTGGTGTTAGTAAAAATAAATACGTGCTTTATTAAACAGCTTTAAGTAATCTTCAGGTAGAACTTGGAATAACAAAGCTGAATAAAAACACGTGACAAGACAATATGACATTTTTCTTTCCGAAGAGGCTAAAAGCTGCTTGTTTCTTCTTATTTATTGCATTGGAAACATCCTGTGTTCGTTTTCTATAAATACTGCCACTAGAGCAAAAGTTTTATCAGAAACACTTTCATGTGGCAGTGTGGATGATTTGAGTATTAGCATTTCTTTTGTAATTATAACTTAGTGTCCAGAGGCTTTTTGGAGTATGGGACCTGCTTCCTTTGGAGTAGCAGTCCTTGCTGCTTGTGTGATGAGACGAGGAATCTCCCCGGATCTTACGGAACAAAATATAACTGTTGTATGTAGGTTTTTTTCCTCTCTCTTCTCCTTGTTTTATGTGTTTAAAAATGTTCTTGCATCAGTAATGGGTTCTGACCTGCTACTTGAATGAAAATTGCCTTTAGTCTTCTGAAACAGGCCCCTGAATGCTCCTTGGTGTGTTACCTGCTTAGTCAATTCAGCACTGTTTCCTTAGACCGCTAAGGGCTCCTCCTTCCAGCCCCTGTGGTGCTGGAGGGACCCTTGCTGCTGCACTTACTGCTGTGGCCGGCTATTATATCTTCAAATAGTGTGCTTCTAAGGAGGTACAATCTCATTTTGTATGTCAGTCCTTTCTCTCTCTTTTTGTAGCGCTTGTTCTGGTGTTTCTGAGATGCTGTGACTATCTGTAGAATTACTGACTGTGACTAACATCTTACTTGCTGAAAAAGCTAAGCAGTAATATCTGGCAAGATGAATTTTATATAACATGCTACCTTGAGGCTCCAGAGCCTCCGATGATAAATGTCTTGCTTGCTCTTTTCCCTGTCCTCTCCTTTTTCTCTTCTCTTCTACCAAGTATAGATTCTGAAACGGACAAACCCAAATGGAGTATATACTGGTGTGAAACGTGTACTCAATCCAGTACAAGCCATCATCTTTCTTGGTATGCTGATCACTGTTAGCCTTGTTTCTGCAGATTAGTTTCTGATTAATAATTGGTGAAAAGCCGCACAAAATGCATGCGATCTAGCAAAAAAGAATAAATTTTAAAGCACTGTTGATTGACTCGCCTTTGTTTAGATGTTTCACTAAAAATAATTTTAGGAAGGAAAATTGTTAAGTATCGATACTTGGAGGTTTGTGGGGTGCCTAAAGATTCTGGGGACAGTTTTCATTTAGGACTTGATTGTTGAAACTGATTTTCAAAAACATAGCTGAAGATATGTACTTCCAAACATCTTATCTTACTATGTGTATGTTAAGATTATCCTAGTTTAGAAAAATAACATGGAATTGCTGTCAGTAAAGCAGTAATCTGACAGACCGGTGTAATATTGACTTAAATGGGTACACCAGCAGTATTACTAACAAATTGCTGCTGGTAAACCGAACAGAGGTTTAGCATGAAATATTTCTAGCTTTCTAGCTGCTTTAGATATTCAGATGAGACCAAAGCTCCATCTCTGTTTTTAGAAGCTGTAAAGTGAGAAGTTTAGAGGCAAGTTTCTTTACATTTTGCTGATTCCACATCCAAGCAAGTGGAAAATGACATGCATTTTGTCAGTTTTAGGGCCATCATGTTTTTTTTGTTTTATTTTTTGCTATCTCCTTTAGTAACCAAGGTTTATAGGGGAGTGTTCTTTTGGCGAAAAGCTATTTCAGTTTAAATATACTAGTGCACTGCCAATCTTGCCTATACAGGTTAGAATACCACTGGTGAATTGTGTAAGGGTACGGTTTCATAATTACTATGCGAAAATCAAATTTTTACTTTATTAAAATGCAAAGCAAATTAATGAAATGCTTTTGCTTGCTGTATTTCTCTTTTCAGGAAGCAGGATATGGGTCTTTGCACAGGAGCTCATCCATGGATGGCAGAACACTGATATTTTTCACTTCGTATCTGTATAAGCTGTAAACGTACAACTTCATATATTGAAAATTTTTAGTAGAAGTACCAAGTTTACTTCTTTTGTGTGTGTGTGTGTCCGTGGGGGAGCTTAGAGCTTTGACCAGGGAGGTCAGTGAAGTCTCTTTTTTGAAGCACTTCTGACAATTGAGGGTCAGCAGAATGAAGCTCTAGCGCACTCCTCCCGTCAAATCTTAAGGATTCAAAGGTACCATAGATTTTCTGGGTCTAATATATTCACAAGACATCCATCATGAAGCTGGAAAAGTTGTACTGTACACAACCTCAGCAATGTTGTGACTACGGTTATAGTGCACTCTTGATTTGTATCTGCTTATTTTCTGTGGAAAAGTTAGTCTGAGTTGGAGCATTGCTCCAATCTCCCTTTTGAGTCAGATGTCATTTATATCTTCCAGGTATAAAAAGGGAAGCCGTGGTACTCCTTCCCTATTCAAAACTCATTGATTTGCCTACGTGTCCTAACAACTGTGGTGAAAACTTCTCTGTGAAGAGAAAGCAGTGCACTAGTTTTCATTAGGAAGAGCTGGTATTTGTATGCTCATATGTTAGCAAAAGCATGTAGAGTGACAAGATGGATATCTTCGAGGCTTTCAGGATGAGTAAGCATGGGTTAATATGCAGGAGCTGCAGGGTGACCCTGACCGCGGGAAGCAGTTGAAATTTCTTTCATGCTTCCTTTCTGTAGTCATGCACTGGGGAGACGCCTTAAGAAGGTAATTTCTACAGTTCCTGTACTGGTGACTGATTTAGCTTTATGAATCCTTCCTTCTTGGGATGCAAGCAGCTTTCCAGAGAATACTCTGCAAGTGTAGTGAGGATTCTCCCAGGTATTCTGAGTAAATATTTAGTTTCTAAGCATCTCTGCCCTTTGAATGGTGACCTTTGGATCATCACTGGAGTAAGGGTAAGATTCTTGGACCTCTTAAAGGATATTTGACTCTTAAACCGGCTTCATTCTGACTTAAAGTTGCCTTTGGGATTATGGAGCAGTTCGTGTTGCGAGCATGAATGAAAAAGGAGGAAGCTGAGAAATAAGAGTTAAGTGAAATGCTTAATTAAGATTAAATGTACTAGATGGTGGTGTATAGTGCATATCTGTATTTTTCAGTGATTGTATCAGTGCAGTCAAGGTTTTCCTTTAACTGATGACATGCCTACTTCTGCAACATAGCAATAATAAAAATCTTCAAATATACTCTTTGTGATGTTGTACTTTAAAGTCTTGTTCTTTGGTGTCAAATGAGTAAATGTGGCTGTGGTAGCACTAGGGTTAGAGCTTGACGTATGTATAACTTGGTTATACTATGATGGTTGCAGTTGCAGAGAGTGTGCCATTTGTGTATGCTTCAGAGAAAAGCGCAGGAACCCTGAAGGGCCTAACTTCTTCCCGGCTGGGAAAGCTATCCCTGTTTTCCAGTGATTGCAAGGAAGAGAGTTGCTATTACTTCCAGAATTTTAATGTCTCTTTTACCATCAGGTGGTATTTTCTGTGCAATGTCTAGTAAATGCTTTCTTAAATTTCAGTGTTTTATGGCATAAAATCCACAACTGTTAGGGTAGAAATTAAACCACTTAAAAAAAATCTTGCTAATATGTTAAGAATTTAAAAAATCCAAATAACAAGATGGAGGCATTACAGTACAATCTCTTCTGTGATACCTGTTTTTTCCTCTAAAGTCCCCCTCTCTCTCTCTCAATGGCGTCTTTTTCTTCCCTCTAACAGCTTTGCCTTGTGTTCAGAGCAAAACCAGCTGAGTAGAAAATAGCTGATTGACCTAGATGATTTGGTGGGATAAGTCCCACCTGGTCCAAAGGGCCATTGGAGGGATTTACTGCCTGTTGTGTGTATGAGAAACAGCTGTGTTTGGAAGTGGCCTAGTGAAAAGCAGCTGTGGAGGGGGGCTTAGCTTCGAGTGTGGATTGAGCACAGCAGAAAGACTGCAGGAAGGACACCTCTCTTGGCTTTGCATCAGCTCTCCCCTTCCTTGCTTGTGGAGTGTGCAGTGAGTAATAAGTATGATATTTGCTAGAGTTCTGGGCTTCTGTTAGCCTTCCAAATTACTCAATGAATTGTGTTTTAATTATCTGGCATTCAAGGTCTAATTTCTACATGCTGAGAGTGTTGGGCCAGTGCTTGGAGTGTTACCAATGCCTGGGGCAAGTAACAAATTCTTTGCGGGGAAAGAATGTATCGGGCATAACCAGGGCCCTTGCTTGTGGGGAAGTGCTGGTTTTCCCTGCAACCAGAGTTTTCCCTTCCAGCCTTCCCCTAAACCTCAAAGAGAGTATGTAGCAAACTTGTAAACTATGGCTTTGGTATATTCATTGTGTTTTATTCTTGTTTCTATTGTAGCAACAACTTCCTGAAAAATCTGTAACACGGCAGGAAACATATGCAAACTTTACAACCAACGCTGGTTGTCATGTTGATTTTTGTCTGTGTACCTAGATTAGAATTAGCCTTTTCCATGGCAGGGCAGAGGATGTAACTCTTTCCAAGTATGCAAGTGGTCAGATGATTAAGGGTAATGCTACCCAGATTTGTATCTGCTGTGCTGGATCACGTGATACAGTAAGCTGGGTATGGTGTGCAAAAAATAGCAGTACATCCTAATTCTTGAAGTAAAGGAAGAAAGGTGTATGCAACTTTTAATAAAGGAAAGTTGCTTGTGAAGATCATGTTGAGTGTGGAAAACGCACACAGCCTGTTATCTGAGTGTGTGCTATAAATCCACAGCCGTGCCCTCAGTGTAAGATGAGCTGCCTACTGCTTTCCAACTTTTCCAAGCACACCTCAAGAACGTTTAGAGCAGGAGTAATTGGTTCTAGGTGAGATTTCAGCATAAAAGATGGTGTATTCTCTGGTAATTTATTTTGGAAATTTTACTTACTGAAAGGCTTAGTAGTTTAAATGAATGTATATATTGCTAGTGAAGTTTTTTTTCTTGTAATGAGGCTTGTTGCTCTGCTCTGACAGAGGCAGTTGGTCTATGGCTAACATGCATCACTATCATTTTTAATCACTGTTTACCGACTCAGTAAATACTTGGCTTCTGTTCCCTGTGTATAATGGCTTTTTCTGGCATGTGTCTAGTAACTTTGACTTAAAAAAAATCTTTCTTTTTAAGTAAGCTTATGTCTCTGGAGGGGTTGGGGGGGTTAGGAGGGTTAAGGCCTTCAAGTAGGGCTAGTTTTCTGATAAGCAAATAAATGATTAAATGGTATCACACTTGTGGCCTAAGTAGTAGTGTGCGTAGACTGACAGTGATTTTTGCTTGCAATGTGTAAGAGTCTGGGATCTATCTTGTTAAGGTTTTCATGTTAGGAACTTCTAGAATGGAGAATTTGGCCTTCTTGAAGGATTTTAAGATATTTTCAGTGATACTGATTTTTGACTGTCAATGGTCAGATTGGAAGAATGTTGAATCTTGCATGTTTTCACAATCAGAATGCCAATCAGTGGTGAACCTGAATAGGTGTTGAAAATGACTGAATAATTTTGACTGTGCTTGGGGGGGGGAGGGGTTAGACTTGAGAACCCCTGGAGGTCTTCTCCAATCAAAGCCAGGCAAGGCTGAGTAAGGCCTTGTCCAGTTGTGTTCTGAACTTCTGAGGATGGAAGTTCCACCGCCTCTTTGGGCAGCCCTTTCCAGTCCTGCGCAGCTCTCATTGAAACCTTTCTTCCCCCCTCCCCCCACCCCCTTGTCTTATGAGAATTTTTTCTTTGACCCTCTTTGGGTCTTGACCTTTTCCTAGGCAACTTCCTCCAAGCCTGCAAAGTGTTTGGCTTCATCTTGCCTGCAATTCCTCTTTGGGTAGCAAAAGACCCATTAGATCTCTGTAGCAGTCTCCAAGCTGAACAGCAGTGGTTACTGTAGCCTCTCTTTGTCTGTCCTGTACTCTAGCCCCCTGGCCAGCTTATGGGCCGCCTTTTGGGGTTTTTCCACTTCTCTGTTGTAGTGTGGGTGTGCACATCTGGACAGATTATTCCGGATGTGGCCTCATGTGTGCTAAATAAGCTAGCTGCTTCCCTCAGCCTGCAGGTTATGCTTTTGGTTATGCTGCCTGGTATGTTGTCATAGCCTTCACTGCTTAATCTTTCAGCTGGTCCATAAGGAACCTCAAGTCCTGTTTTTCTAAGGCTGCTATCTAGCCAGTCAGTCTCCAACCTGTACCAATACGTGGAGTTATTCTCTTCTGGGGCAGGACTTTGCGTTTGGATTTGAACTTCCTGAGAGTCCTGTGGCCCATTCCTCCAGCTTGCTCAGATTCCCGAAGTGATAGCTGTGCCCTTTAGTGTGTAAGCAACTGCCCTGAATCCAGTGTTGTCTTTGAACTTGCTGAGAGAGTGTGTTCATTCTTGTCAGCCAGGTCAGTGGTGAAGATACTAGTGTTGCTGCAGTAATATCTGGCTTATATATGGACTTACCACCACCGCCCTCAAACTTACAGCTCCACTTCTCCTTTCTTATTTTAATGCTGCAGCGCTGATTTGTCAGTTGCCTTGAATTGCCCAAGTTCAAGGGGTATATACTCGTACTTTTAAAAAAATTTAACGTTGGAGTTTGGCAATCCTGTTCTTGCGATGCTTTAAAGATTAATTAAATCTTGCCTCGCTAATAAGGTTCTTTGCTAATCCCCCCTGCGTCGCTCTCCCAGTGCTATTTGTTCTCTTCTGGCATCTTTTTTGTTCATCTTTTTAGTATTTTATCATTTTTATCTTCAAGCTTTTGTCTATCAGCATGAAAGTGAAAACATGAAAGTCTTGAGTAGTAAAGGTTTTGATCCTTAAGAGTACATTAAGATATGTTTAACATCATTGACTTCAAGTTTTGGTGTTCGTTAATGGCAATGATCTCCTGAAGTTTTTTTCGTATGTAAAATGTAGAAAGGCAAACAAATTTTACTTCTCTGTGGGCTAGTCTTCAAGTTTCATCAAAGGTGGGAAACTATTGATGTGCTTTGAGAATAACTTGAAAAGTTGCATGACTCGTTTGTAAGTCCAAGAGATTTCTGACCAAGTTGGATATAGCCTCCTGCTTATTGGGAAAACTGACTGAAAGGTAACTAGAAAGAGTATACTCTTCTCGTGCAATGCAGTTTGTAAAAGGTATGAATGAGAGTCTCTATTCTGTATCGCTCAATGTTTTTGAGACTACTGAAATCAATAGTCAACAGGATGATTAACACAACTGTTATCAGTCAATATTAATATCAGTTCAATAACTGAATTTCTTAACCTCATTTCACCCTGAACTTATCTTTAAGCAGCTGGGAACTTCTACGCTTGGGTGAGGGCAAGATGGTGAATGCACATGACTCCAACTAGTGAGGGCACTGGTCAGAGCTTCAGTAGTTAGTGGTTACTGTGTTGCTTTACTGTCATTACTCAGCTCTGAGCTAGTTTCTGCAATTGCTTTCATTTAGAAATGACTTGCTGCCTCTCTAGCCCGTGCTTTCCTGTCTTTCTGAGGAGCTGGCTGGATGCTATGTTAGACCATGTCCAAGCTTTCATTTAAATTCTTAGCTGCCTCTTTTTGTTTGTATGTATGCAGATAGGTTTTGGGGGAATTGTATATATCAAAATAGTCTTTTTGCAGTTTGTAATATTTCCTTAGATTGCTGTATGACTTCCAAACACTGAAAACATGCTGTAATTTGTTCCTTTTGAGGACTGTGAACTAAGGGCAACCAAATGACAGGAAGTTATCAGGATGTTTCTGAACTAGGAGTGTCATCTGGGCAGGGAAGTGTCTCAAGTTACAGCAAGCTGAGCCTTGACAATCATTGTTGTGCTTCCTAATATTTGCCCTGATAAATGATTTAAAGCTCACTGAATATTAACAGTTTTAAACAAGAAATAACTAAATGGCAGATGAAACTGGCTCTTCTAGTTTGGAATTAACTGTGCTTGACCCTTGCTTTCCTTCATATGGCTTTGGTCTATGTACAGCTACGTACGTACTGTGTGGTAAGACTGTTTAGTTAGAATAATGTCATAGTGAGGCCAGTTTGGCAATATGTACTTTTTTTATTTTTGCCTTCTTCCCTCTTTTAAGATATGTGGTATACTGAAGACTGAGCAGGTGGTAATGAGGGAGTTCTTGCATAGCTTCATCACTTCTGCTGGAGTCTATAAGCAGCAAGAGCAGGAGGACTGGTGCTGGAGGATGAATTTCCATTTTTGGTGGTGTTTGTGTATTTATCTGGCAGACTTGTAGAACCTTTGAATGCTGAGTTAATCTTCATAGTATGTCCTACATACATCCTGTACTACTGCATTACAGCAGCCTTTGCTGTCATAACATGAATTAATTGTTTACTGCTAATGGTTACAATGCAGGGAGCGTTCTGACGTTTTGTGAGGCACTGTTGATAGCCTGAAATGATAACTTGGACCTGCATTTATATGCTATATATATAAAAGATATTTTTGATGCTCTTGATATGTTCTATGCAACTATGCTCTTGATATGTTCTATGCAACTGAGAAGAAACATGTGAAAACTTGAATATGAATCTGCATTTTATCTTCCTAAACAAAACAGATTTTAGTGACAGAATTCTTTATTCATTAATGATTATTTCCCTTGATGGTCTGTCTCACTTTTTTTGGTGACAGAATTCTTTATTCATTAATGATGATTTCCATTGATGGTCTGTCTCACTTTTATGGCTTCTGTCTGTTCCTGTCTTAGGTAGCAACAAATATTCTCAAATAGGTAGATTTAATGCCCTTAACTTGCAGATAAGTTTTATTCCTCAGGGATTAGGGAATGCTGCAATTAACAACTGACTTGAGTACATTCGAAAGTACTGTAGTTCAGATAGGTGTCACTTAGCTGGTATTCTGTAGCAGCTCAAGTATCTGGGGCAACTTCTATTCGCTGAACATGTTTTGAATGATTCCTCCC